ACAATCCAGTGCGTCTAAGGCAAAAAAAATCTGGGTTGGCTACCAGCCGGCCTGATATTCCGCAGCATTTCTTATGAAACCACAACTTGCATTGAGTGCGAGCAATGGAGTTGCTTCCAACACTTTTACTACAGACAGCACAAGGGTACTTTCCAGAGTAGTTGAGAAGATCAAGGCCGATGCCTGAGATCAGTAACTTTCTTTTTCATGTTGACTCGCAGACCTTTACTCTCCATGCCAGTTTTACAAATCCTGAGTCTAGCGATGCATTCATCGAGCGTATTTGCCATTAAAACTAAGTCATCCGCATAGAGGAGCTACCAAGGCACGCCTTTACGTTGATTGAATCGCTCTGAGAGGGCCTCGTAGACGAGGATGAAGAGAAGTGGACAAAGAACAGAGCCCTGATGTACACCGATACTCAGTTTGAATTTTTCACTGTACTGACCGTTTACACGAACCCGACTCCGGGCATTACAAAACATAGCCTGAACGACCCGCACTTCCCATTCTTCGAAACCGAGACTTCGAAGGTCCCATTATAGTACCAGCATGGCAGCTTTCTCGAGATCCACAAAAGCACAGTAGAAAGGCCTCTTAGCTGTCGAACAGTGAATATGACGTCGGTGGTACCTCTGCCAGATTCAAAGCCAAACTGCATCTAGTCTAAACACCATCCTACGAGTGATGGGATCGAGCACTCGTTCTACCAGCTTCATGACTGACCTCTGAGTTTCAGTCCTCGCTCATAGCCGCAACTTAGGGCCTCTTGTGCCATTGAGGTAAGTCAAAATGGAGCTCTCCTCCCAGGCTGTGGGGAAAACACCATTTTTGAAAACAGCTTCAGTTCGTTGCCTCATCAGTTCGACGCCAAGATCTCCAGTTGCTTTCAGCCCTCAGTTACAATGCCAGACGGCCCAGTGCCTTTGCCACCAAACTTTGCTGAGGGCCATGTATATCAATTCAGGCGGCTGTTCAGCAATCGACGCAGTCTTTGGGAGCGTCTCACTTGGCCAATCAAATATTACATTGAGAAGTCTGGCATAGTGTTCAACCCACGCTTTCAATTTATAGTTGTCAAGAAAAACTAGCTCACAGGCATCATTCCGCCTACACATCTTGCCCGAGATGTCCTGATTAGCGCGATCTATCTGCTTAGCGATCAAAGAGACACCATCACTATTTAGAGACACTGTGGCGAATTCTTCCTTCTCAACAGCCGACTTAGCAAGGTTAACAGTATGTTTTAACTTGCGCTTTGCTTCCAGATAAGACTTCGAGCTTTCAGCGATTCAGTCGTCTTGCCTACCTTCATCAAGGAATTGCAAATATTAAATTGTGAGCGCTTCTCTTGCACAACATGGTCAACTTGTTCATTCTACCACCAAGTTTCAGGTATTTACTTGTGGTTCTTTGATAGGCCAGATACTCCAGTTGAAGCCTTCAGAGTCGGAAACTTCAGGCGAGACCAGACATAGTCTGAGCAGTTGACATCCCGTGTTTCTGAAGGACTTCCTAGAATTGTTCAGCTGTGGCAGCGTCTCTAAGCTTCCATGCGCGTATGCGAGGTATGAACATGCACTTCTTCGCACGGGGTAAGTGTACGGCAAAATCGCACACGACAAGGTGATGTTGGACGCATTCCTTGTTTGGAACAACTTTAACAACAGAAACGGCACTGCTTAAGGACTAATGATAGAGTATGTAGTCCAGCTGCGTAACGTGGGGCCACCGGAGCTGTATGAGATTAGGTGAGGGTCTCTTTTCTTGAACCAGGTGTTGCTGACTCGAAGGCCGTTGGCAAAAGCAAATTCCACGAGACGTTCGCCTTGTGTATTACGCGAGCCATTACCGTGTCCACTATGTGCCTCTTGGTTACCAGCGGCAGCCGAGCCGACGGGCCCATTCCAGTCGCCTACCGGAATAGTCAAAAAATAACCAACTAATATGCCTCAACTTAGTGCGGACGCATTTAGACTAGTATACGAAAAAACTCCTCAAAAACATCCGACCCCGCCCAGGTTCGAAACTTCTTATTTTGTTGCAGGTCTTCTTCCCTACCTCTACGCTACATATCCAGGATACTTGAAGCTCAAGGCCTATTTTTATTACTAGCGCATGACTCGCACCTACGGTGATTCCAAAAAGCTTCTTTAAACATGTACTAAAAAACAACGATATTTGAATGACCCTTATTTGTTGTGACTCTTGAAGATAAACTGGGCTCATCTATCATGAAGTTTCTTTTTCATAAAAAATTGAGCAATCATACTTGGACGCCAGATTTGCAACTCCTAAGTATAACCTGACAGTACCCCACCATATGCTTGAGATTTCAAAATCGTCTCTTTTTTATCTAGGTTTTTTTAAAAAAAAAATTCTTAAAGAAAACGCCCCATCTCGAAACTCAAAAAGATTTGAGCAGTCATATTTATAGCCAACTTTCCACCTCCTGAAAGTACCTTGCTGGTACCTCAGTATAGGGTTGAGAGTTACAAGTTCGGTTACTTCATTTTGAAGAAAAAAAATGAAAAAATCATTAAAAACCTCCATATCACCAAGACCAAAAAAAATTGAGCAGTCATACTTGGACGCCAGTTTTTCCATCCCTGAAAAAAAACCTGACAGGATCCTACTTTTTGGTTGAAAATTTCAAGTTCGGTTACTTTATTTTGTATCCATGAATTTTTTTGAAAAAGAAAAAAGAAATCATGAAAGCCATATCTCGAAAACCAAAAAGATTTGAGCAGTCATATTTGAACGCCAGCTTTGCAACTTCTGAGTGTACCTTGTTAGCATTGCAGTAAAGGGTTGAGAAATTCAAGCTCGATTGCTTTATTTTACATCTAACTTTTTTTAAAATAGATATAAAATAAAGTAACCGAACTTGAATTTATCAACCATATACTGGGATACTAGCAGGTTACACTCAGCAGTTGCATATCTCGAAAACCAGAAGCATTTAAGCAACCATATTTGAACGCCAGCTCTGCAACTCCTGAGTGCAGCCTGCCAGCAGCCCACTATAGGGTTGAGAATTTCAAGTTCGGTTACTATATTTTATATCTAAACTTTTTTCATTAATTTTTTTTGAAAAAAACAAAACACATAAAAATTGCCAGATCTCAAAAACCAAGAGGATTTGATAAGTCATAAGTCATATTTAAAGGCAAAATTTGGAACGCCAATGGATAACTGACAGGACTCCTTCTTAGGGTTGAGATTTCGCTGAGTAGAGTTTTTTTAAGGTTCGCTGAGTTTTTTTTTTTTCAACTCAATTTTATTTTAAATTTAGAAATCATACAAACAGCCAAAATTTAAAACATGTCGAAAACCAAAAGGATTTGAGCAGTCATATTTGAACGCCAGATTTGAAACCCTGGGTGTACCCTGACAGCACGCCACAAAAGGTTTATATCTAAGAACTTTTTTGAAAAAAAAATAAAAAATCATGAAAGCCATATATCCTAAACCTAAAAGATTTGAGCAATCACATTTGGATGCCAGCTTTGCAAATCCTGAGTGTACCCTGCTAGCATTGCAGTAAAGGGTTAAGAATTTCAACTCCGGTCACTTAATTTTATATCTAATTTTTTTTCAAAAAAAATAGATATAAAATAAAGTAACCGAACTTGAAATTCTCAACCCTATACTGGGAGGCTAGCAGGTTACACTCAGCAGTTGCATATCTTGAAAACCAAAAGGACTTGAGCAACCATTTTTGAACGCCAGCTTTGCAACTCCTGAGTGCAGCCTGACAGCACCCCATAATAGGGTTGAGAATTTCAAGTTCGGTTACTTTATTTTATAACTTTTTTTAGCTATTTAAAAAAAAACATAAATCGCCATATCTCGGAAACCAAAAGGAGTTTATAAGTCATATTTAGATGCTAAATTTGCAACGCCAATGGGTAACTGACAGGACACCGCCTTAGGGTTGAGATTTCGCTGAGTTTTTTTTCCATCTATTTTATAGCTTAAAAATCATACAAATAGCCATAATTTAAAACATCTGGAAAACCAAAAAGGAATTGAGCAGTCACACTAGAACGCCATATTTGCAACCCCTAAGTGCACCCTGACAGCACGCCACAATTAGACTGAGAAACTTAACTTGATTACTTTATTTAATACCTTTGAAAAAAAAATTGAAAAAATCAGAAAAACTCCAGATCACGAAAACAAGAAAGGATTGATTCAGCAGTCATACTTGAACGCCAGATTTGCAACCTCTGAGTGTACCCTGACAGCACGCTACAATGGGACTGAGAAATTTAAGTTCGGTCATTTTATTTTATAACTTGAAAAAAAACTGAAAAAATAAAAAAAAAACGCCATATCTTGAAAACCACATAAAATTGAGCAATCATACTTGGACGCCAGATATGCAATCCTAAGCGTATCCTGACAGCACCCCACTATAGGGTTGAGCAACTTCGGTTATTTTATATCTGAGTTTTTGTTTTGAAAAAAAATGAACAAAACGTAAAAAACGCCATATCTCGAAAACCAAAAGGATCAGAGCCGTCATACTTGGACGTCAGATATGCAACTTCTGAGTCTACACTGACAGCACCCACTATCAGGTTGAGAAATAATATTTAACCAATCAATGTTGATACAAAAATTGGATAGTTTTACGTTCCGAATATAGGAACAATATGGAGTTAAAGCATTCGCCCTACAACAGATTTTAAAAGGCCGACTTGAGTAAACATTCCTTCCTTTTCATCGTTTTGATTTTTTAACAGACCAACTTAGGGACTTCTTAAACATGTGCAAAGTGAAATTTCTTAAGTATTACAAAATACGATATAGCTTAAAAAATAATATGTTGAAAAAGCTTAAGCATGTCAACATAGGGACTTCTTGAACATGTGCCAGTTGAAACGCCAATTTAAATAATGTATAGATTACGGGAAAACCTTAAATTTTGATGACCAATACTTATTCTATGAAAGGGATTCGAGATTCTCAACTAAGTATTTGCAGAGTCGGAATTTAAAAAAAAAGTTAAAACAATGAATTTTAAATATCAGTTCAATAATTTTAAAAAATCTTTTCTAAATAATTTCAATTACACCAATAATTTATCGGCCTGTTTCAATTAAGTCCGTTCAAGGACTGTTATTCAACATCCTAGCTTTATTGCTGTATTGAATCTGTTATATCTTTCAACAGTTTCAAAACACCGCCTACTAGATAGAGGCTTCCAGTAACCAACACACAGATCTCGGTATCCGTGGAAATAATTCTAAGCAAGTTAAAAGCATCGTCAATGTTTTCATGAACCGATACTTCTGATGTGTTGTTAGTCTCCTTCCAAATCGCCATATTTCGACGGCATCTATCTGTTTCCATAGATACCACTGATCTAGCATTATAAGTTGCCGAATTGTCGAAGTCCAAGCCGAGTCTTAATCTCGGTGGCGTGAAAACCACGTAATCAAAGGAGACCTCGTTGCTGATAATTCTAAGAAAATTTTCGTCATTTCTGTCACTCGTAAAAGTGCAGACTAAAACTTTCTTTGCGCTTTGCTGATGTTCGATCTCAAATTTTGTCCTGAACCAATTTAGACATAGTTTCAAACTTTCAGCTGTATGAGCACCATCTAAATAAAATGTCAGATTGTCATCGATTTTCACTGTTTCACAGCGCCCAGGCCATCTCACATTCTTTAAGCCTTGTGTTACTTTAACAGGATTTAACTTTTCAAAACCCATTTGCTCCGCCCATACATTACTGAGTTCAACAGCCAACGATGCATTTGTTTTCTGATGAAAACCATCCAAACCCAACTCTACGCTTTCCAGTTTTATATTCATTTCGACAGTTTGCAATCGAACACCCTTTTCCTCAGCGCACTCTTTCAATTTACTCAGTGCCCCAGGAATTGGTTGCTCTAAAGTAAGCGCAGGAACACCTGGCTTGAAAATGCCTGCTTTATTCCAAGCTATTTCCTCAATGCTGTATCCCAGTATTCTTTGGTGATCAAAATCTAGAGTTGTTACTCCACATACAACGGGATTCCTGACAATATTCGTTGAATCAAAAGTGCCACCCAGGCCAACTTCTAAGACTGCGACATCAACTTTTTCGTCAATGAAAACTTTAAAAGCTACAATATTCAGTAAAAAGACATAAGGCGGCATATCGAATTCATCACTTCTCATCGGCCAGAGCTTGTTATAAATTTCATGTAAGCACTCGGCAAATTGCTTCTGTGAAATAGGCCTCCCGTTGATTCTTACACGTTCTACAATATCAATCAAATGAGGAGAACTTAAAAATCCAGTTTTGAACCCTGAATTCCTAAGAACACTTTCCGTAAATGCGCATACTGAGCCTTTTCCTTTTGTTCCGCTAACGTGTATAACATTGAGTTTGCTCAAATCGTCTTGCGTTATGCCAAGTCTGTCTAAATGTAGCGCAAATGTATCCATCCTTTTTTGAGCAACGCTAGAACCTACAGCCATTTTTGAGCTCGGTTGCAGTGAGTTCAAAATATTGACTGCTTTTATGTACTCCTCGCATGTCATTTTTGCTAATGGATATCTTCTAAGTTTAAATTTCCTAATTTGGATGTAGGATGAGCGCTTCCTGAAAGCAAACGACGAAGTTTTCAGCCACCGATTCAAAAAGTTCAACAACTCATTTTTTTCACCATTCATCTGGAAAAAATGCATAAAAATAAGAGCAATGATTTGAGGAAAAATTTACGAGTGTTAATTTTATAGTTATATACAACCGCTATGATCCGAAAGTGACAAGAGGAACGTTTGACACGAATAATCTGGATAACAGGACAAACGACAGCAAAGTTTTATTGAAGAAGGTCAACCTAGAAGTACGGAAACTTTTTTTTCCACAATTATTAGTTATAAACACTCAAGTCAAAACAAGTCAAGTTTTTATGACCATTAGGCAGTGCCTCTTGTGGTCATTTCAAATGTTTTTTTTCCTATCTCCGTTCGAATTCGTACATGTCAATTCCAATCGCTTTCCAATGTTTGTCCAGTTTCCACTTGAATTCGTCGATGGTCTTGCTTTGCACTGTTTCCTGTGGCAGATTGTTCCAGTCGAGAGGTGCTCTTATCGTGAAGAAATTTTTTCGCATTTCTAGATTTGCTTTACGTACTAGTACTTTACATGCGTTACCTCTAGAATCCCTATCATTCCGCTCGAATAGTCCCGCAGTGGCATTCCTATCATAAAAACCATAGCAGATTTCAAAATGAAATCTCAAACGAATGATTTCAAAAATAATCTTGACAATTTGAAAAAAAAACTGGAATCCATTAAATCGAAACGAACAATTGAAAGGGAATATAGCACGAGCTGATCGAAAGAGGCACAAAATCTTCTATATGATCAGTACTAATTGAGCTTGAACTATATAGAATATGAAACAGCGAGAAAGCGACAAAAACCAGCTCTATACATACTAAAAATTGAACCAGCAAATGGAAAGCAAA